TTAGTTATATACATTTTAAATGCTTGATTAGCAGTGTCAAACCTTTTCACTGTATTCTCATTTTCAGTATACTTAAGTTTTATGTTTAGGGTAACACCCTCTCAAGTAAAAAATAGTGATTCCATTCTGTGTGAGTGTGTGTGCGCGTGCATGCGTGTATCTTGTATGTCAATAAAATGAATAATTTGTTAAAGTTAATAAAATTGTGTAATAATAAGGATAATATCTATAATTGCTGTAACAGTTACCTGTTTCCACCTCCTGATAATTTCACATGCACATACATACATCATCTCTTAAAATTTATGTGCCTAAATGCAAATATACTTGCTATCTGGAACAGTAATAGTATAAAAAGAAACTTTTGAAACTAAGCACCTTAGTTAGCTTATTGTGGCATGATATTGCATAGTAAAAGTCTATTTCTTCAGAAGGAAAGTAGACTTCATGGATACTTTTAACTGTGAACAATCATTGCGCAGTTAGCCTCTCAAATGTCATAGACTTTTTTCTATTAAAACCAAATTAACAGTTCATTTTCTGAATGTTGTTTCAACTAGCTGTACCAAAGAATGGAGTGTTCTTGAAGTATTGTTTTTTAGGGTTTGAGGCATATTTTAGGTGGATGTGACAGAATATCTGATAAGCAAAAGTTGAATTCAGATGTTCAAGTCTAAATTTCCCCGGCAGAGCAATCCTTGAAATTTTCCAAAGTTGTTTGAAATGTCAGCAGTACATATTTTCTAGATGGTTTCCCCTCTTCATCATTTTCCATCTGTATTAAGTCAATCTGTTAACATAGCCTATCAGCTAATCCAAAATGTGAATGGAACTATATCTGGTCCCAGCAGTATTCATGCTGTCTACATACTTTGGGTATTTTTTACATTTTGTATTTATTTTTGCAACTCAGCAGTTATAAAATATAATGTAGGGAATACCATGTAGACATAGGGAATAAAACTAGGTGTTCATGGATTTAGACTCATGTATCTAATGGGCTCATATAGGATATTTAATATTTAAATATTGCTTTAAAATACAATATTTATTTGTCAAATATTCTTTCTAGGCTTCTGAGAAGTATACAGTCCCTTCCACATTTCATTCCCTACCTCGTGTGTGTGTGTTTGAATTGTGGTCAGAGTTAGTTACCATGTTTGCATTAAGAGCTAACTATAAAACTATGAATTATTTCCCCCCATTTGCATGATGGTTTAGACATAAAACTGTTGTTACTAATAGTATCATCTTCACTAAAATACATGCACATAGTTATTGTTCTGGATAGTGGGAATATCTTTACCTTTATGCCATCTCATAGAGTGAGTATGCGCGTAGGTATAGATATAAAATGTTTGATGCTAATACTTCTAGAAACCTTTGTAGGTAACACGCAAAACCTGTTTATTTTGCTGTGAGAAAATGTCTGTCTTTAATATAGAGAGGGCAGTATCTGCAGCCTGCTGTATTAATTAATTAAATAAATTAATGCATTAATCTGTATCAAATTATGAGCCAAACAGTAGTATCTAGCTAATACTAGTAGGTAAATATTCTTGTATTGCTTCCTCATCATATATGAGTACGTGTGTTTCTTTTGACACATATATATTGCAAGGAAACTAAGTTTCCAGGTGGAAATCTCTGAATTTTATTCAGCAGGATCATATACTCTTGGATTATTTTGTTATATAAGCATTATATGATAACAATCATCTAAAATAGTTGTTTAACAATGAAACATTGGGACTATTTAATTTATAAGACATAATTTTGTGCCTGTTTAGTCATAAGAATACTATCGTTATTTAGTACCTTCTCAACATGGCAGCATATCCACAACAATTTTGCAAATGTTTTCTTACTGTATTAGGTCTCTCAGCCTCTTGTCTCAAATTACAAACTGTCAACAGTTTAGATTATAGAAGTTTGGATTCAGTGAATGTTGTACTATATTTTGTATGAGATAGCATGTATATATAATAATGCTGGATGATGATGATGATGATGATGATGATGATGATGATGATAAATTTATGGAAACATTCTCCTGACTCTTTTTGATAGAAACATGCGGTGAGAAGTGGAGGACAATGACTTTTCATTTTCTTCTGGCCAATGGGGAAGAATAATTATACTTTCTTTTGCAGCTGTGGTGATTTAAATACTGAATATAGCCACATGGTTACAATTTGAGATTACATGTTTTCATAGTGGTAATTGAATGAGGTTTTAGTTTTGTCTTGTTTCCTCTGATTTGATTCTGCATCTGTTATTTCAGGAGCAGTACTGTTTGACATGACTTGTACTTATTATTTCCTTTGACTGGACCTCCTGTCTCTTCACTGGTGCCTATACATCTTTTGAAGTTTTTCTTAATTAACGTTTTATCTTTTCAAATATTACAGCTTTGTTAATAGAGACAGTAAAACATGCATATTAATGTACATTAAAACATGTATGAAACTGCAACATCCTTCCAAATTAGGTGTATTTTTCTTCTTTGTTAACTTGTCAGGCCTTTCAAATGGTTTTGGAGATGGCAATAAAGAATCAGAATTAGATGACGCTCCAGGGAGAAAAGTTGAACCTCGTCGCCGTTGTGCATCAGAGTCTAGCATATCTTCAAGTAACAGTCTGTTGTGTAACTCAAGGTAAAAATGTGTTTGCCTTAGTAAAACCATGCTCAAAGTATAGTGGAGGGATCAGCAGTGTGAAGCCTGTAATACTCTAGATGGCATCCATAACAAACCCAAACCCAAAAGTTAAATTTAGAAAATTAAATTCCCCCAGTATTGCATGAATTTATGGACTAATAAACAGAGAAAGACCTCTGCAGTTTTGCCTGAGATAGATGTTAATCCTTGGTATAAGGCTCTGGAT